GCGGGGGAGCCGGGGAGCCGCACGGCATCGCATTGCCCGGCGGCGGCGGCGGCTGCTGCTGCTGCTGTAGCGGGGGGAACGTCGGACACTGTGACACCGAAGTCGTGGAGCTGAAAACGGAATTTCCTCCGGCAGCGCGCCGTGGCCGCGGTTGCAGAGCAAATAACCGGTGCCGAGGCATCTGCTGAGCCCCAAGGCCGCACGTCCTCTGCTCGAGTTCACGAATACTCGGAGACTTGCCTTTATTTTAATTGAAAATTAGGTCCAGCATTATGTATCCAGTTAAAACAGTTGGATTCTGATGTATTGATCCACATGGATGATGAGCTATTTACTCCTGTTACAGCTGCAACACTTTTTTATTTTTAATCGTTAATTTCCTCAAAATACAATGCTAGTAGCAACTTTTCTGTTTAGTCTGGAAAACGTTGGTCAAAATATTTAATATAAGAGGGCTAAAGCTTCTGGCATTGTTTTCCTCCAATTTAGGGCTAGTAGCAACTTTTCTGATTAATGTTTTGGAAGACATTAGTCTGGGTGTTTGTGGATGGCTAAAGCTAGGGCTTCTGGGCGGAGAGGAACCTGATGAAGTTCAACAAGGGCAAGTGTCGAGTGCTGCACCTGAGGAGGTCAAACCCCGTGCACCAGTACAGGCTGGGGGCTGACCTGCTGGAAAGCAGCTCTGCTGAGAGGGACCTGGCAGTCCTGGTAGACGACAAGCTGACCATGAGCCAGCAATGTGCCCTTGTTGCCAAGAAGGCCAATGGCATCCTGAGGTACATTAAGAGGAGTGTGGCCAGCAGGTCGAGGGAGGTTATCTTCCCCCTCTACTCTGCCCTGGTGAGACCCCACCTGGAGTACTGTGTCCAGTTCTGGGCTCCCCAGTTCAAGAAAGATGAGGAACTCCTAGAAAGAGTCCAGAGGAGGGCAACTAGGATGATAAAGGGACTGCAGCACCTCCCCTACGAGGAAAGGCTGAGAGAGTTGGGCTTGTTCAGCCTGAAGAAGAGAAGACTGAGAGGGGACCTTATCAACACATACAAATATCTTAAGGGCGGAAGTCAAGAGGACAGAAGCAGTCTGTTTGCAGTGGTGTCCTGCGACAGGACTAGGGGCAATGGGTGCAAACTGAAACATAAGAGGTTTCAGTTGAATATGAGGAAAAAACTTCTTTAAGCAGGCGGATTGTTAAGCATATGGTTCCCTTGTTGATCAAAGTGATACAGAGGGTGAGCATAATATTATTGCTTTGTCTTTAATATATGCCATTAACCCAAAGAGATTATTTATCTTGCATCTTTAACATATTTATTTTATTTTGAGGTAGCCAGCTTTGGAATATAAAAATCACCATTTCTTGTAATTGCATTTTGAACATGAAGTTACTGTCTTTAGAAGGAGCCTTTGGAATCATTATTTTATTCTCCAGATGGCAGATTATAGTCTCCCTCGAACTGGAGGGAAAGTGAATGAAAGCCCTGAGTGTATTCCATAATAGGCCTATTGGTCTGCTAGCAGATAAAACTTGGCAACTTCTACCTACGAATATCACTTCCTCTCCTTTTTCTTAAAAACTGGTGCTTATTTTATGTCACGCTTATCTGACAATGTTGACAGGCTAAAAAAGGATAACAATGAGAGCAAAGTAGCAGGAGAGATTTGAAGAGGAGAATTGGGACAGAAAGAAACAAGCACTTCATTTAAAGTCTTTAAGAACAAATCATTCTAGGCAGGACTGAGCACTATTAATATCACCCTGGCCTCATGACAGAGTCATTGTTACAGCTTACGATACATTTGCCTTTGTGATTGGTCTTTGTTTAAGCATACAAGTACTTTTCGGAGATACTCTCAGGGAGACGCTGAGTGATGCATGATTCATTATTTTTGCAGCATCTGTAGCCCAGAAGAGAATGGAGGAAAACATTTTAAAATCAGTAGTCGCATTAGTCTATTTCAGACATCCTCCTTCACAGGACGGTGTAAGTAGTCCTTAGCATGCCAGTAAGTAATGGTATATATATTACCAATCAGTATTTTAACGGCTTCCTGATGAGGTTAGCGAGTCTCTTCCTTTCTTCTTTTCAGTTTCCCGTGTTCAGCTTTCCAAGTATTTCACATGCAGTCCTTGAATGCAACTTCCCTATCCTGGGAGCGCTGCACTGCACTACCCCACAGTTATCTTGACTAGCCAAGTG